GACCGACCAGCAGGGTGTCGCAGTCGAACCCAGACCAGAAGCAGACACCGCAGACCAGGAAGCAGAGGAGATAGATGCTCTCCGGCAGCAAGCGCGAGACTTGTTGTTGGAAGGCGCCCAGAGCGGCAAACTGCAGGAAGTATTGGGAGGTGCACAACAGCCCGCGTCTGCAGAAGCGGCTGATGATGTGGACAAGCTGCGACAGCAAGCTCGTGAGGCTCTATTGGCGGGTGCGCAGTCTGGCAAGTTGTTTGAGGTTCTGTCCACGAATATCGAGCAGAACGAGCAACCAAAGAAGCCAGCTGCTGATGATGACATGGACGACTTACGCCGTCAAGCAAGGGAAGCACTCCTTCTCGGTGCGCAGTCAGGGAAACTGATGGAGCTTCTGGCAAAGAACAGTGAGCAACGAGCAGCAAGCAAGCGGAATTCAGCCGAAAGCCCGGATGAGTTGGAGTTGTTGCGACAGCAAGCTCGAGAGGCTTTGATACAGGGGGCACAGAGCGGAAGGCTCCTTGAAGTACTGGCCAAGCCAGATGAAGCAGAGGAGATGTTTCAATTGAAAAAGAAGCTGTGTGACGCGATTGCAGGGAGCATGGAAACAGGTGAGCTGACCGAGGCATTGAAGGAGGTTCACGATTTGCGGACGCAGGAGATCTGGCAGGAGGCAAGCGACGCACTGCGCGATGGCGCCGAGTCCGGCAAGGTCCTGCAGATGCTTGCAGAAAAAGCTGGTGCTGATGACGGAGCGCCGTGCACTCAGACGTGAGGGTGACGCAGGCCTCATCACAGGCTTGAAGCCCACAATGGCTGAGACTGAGGAACGCTTTGGAAACCACACAGAAGCCTGAGGACGTTCAGCCCGATCTAGAGCACAAGAGAAAAGTCTGTTGCCTTCAGGAGGTTTGCCAGAAGCCCATGGAGGTCTCAGAGGCACTTGGCCTTACTCGGATGCCTGACAGCTTGACGCAAGTTGATCCTGCGACTTTACCCGGCAGGCGCCCAAGGCGACCTTGGAGGTGGACAGGCGCAAGCTGGACATGCGTGGAACGATGTTCACGAAAGTAAGAGGGCAAGTTGGTGTAGCAGAAAGTTCTTGACAGTGAAGCTGACATGGTTTTTTGTGTCTAGTCTCCAGGGCAGAGGCAGTGGAACTTGCTCTTCAGCGTGTGTCTCAGTGTCGGTGCTGACGCCCCCACATTGCGCAACGTTTCTTTGGGGAGCCTGTGCCTCATTGTTCAGGCTGAAGCTGCTGCAGGACCAGAAGAGGACTCGATGTGAAAGTAGTGTTCAGCCTGAACAATCGTAGCTGTAACGCTAGTTTTGCAATGCAGTTCTTGCATGCTTAACAATGCCTTTGTGTCCTCAAGCTCTTCCCGTGCAGCTTGCAAGCTTGCAGCATCTTGCAGCTCTCTGCCGACCTTCCAGCTTCAGGTTGCAGTCATGATAGGTTACTGGCATGGTATTTTTTTTGTTTTTTGTTTTGCGTGTTCGTTATTCTGCCAGTAATCTGATCAGTGCCTCAGACTGAAAGTCGAGATTACGTCGCGGGGTTGCAGATAGCAGTGCAATCCTTCTTGAGTTTGGCGCGCGTTGGAGCACATCGCGCATGGACTTTCTTGCGGCCTACCAGAAAGACGAGTGCGCGAAATAGCGGTTCGAAAGCGCGGCCGCCAGCTTCGAGGCTAGAATCCAGAAGAAGTGTGCATGGGGCAGCAGCTGGTCCGTGCAATTCTCCTGCCTACTTTGGCTTACATCTTCTTTGCGGATACCTGTTGCAAATCTGCAGGTGCAATTTTATGCTGAGAAACTGAACTTGAGCTAAGTCTTTGAGCTGACGCGAAGACCTCACGCAGCTTGATACCTGCAATAACATGCAAAAAGCACGCGCGACTTTAACAGCTGAGTTCAACTTTACCATCCCTGTCAGGAGCAGGGATGGTTGGGCAAGATTCACATGTGCCAAAACGCCTGGATATGCGGCGTACCCCCCGGAAGCTTTTTCTGTGTGGTCTGTGGACCTACCGTCCAGAAGCCTTATGCTTCGTCGCCGAAGCCTGTCCCGAATGACAAGGGCTGGCCCGGTTGTTGAGCGCTTCATAAATCATCTTTGTGCAAAGGTCCAAGCGCCGCATAAGTAGTACTCTTTATACCGGGATTCTTCGGCTGTTGAGCTGATGCCGGGCCAAAGTTCAAAGTTTTTGTGCTACTTCTGGAAGATCTTACGAAGTCTAAACAGCCTTCTGCTTGAATGTCTTTCACCCGGCTACAATGGAACTCCCCATCAATGCCCTAAAGCGTCTGAGCGGAGGACAATGGCTGCTGAGAAAGAATGCTTGTCACCCCAGCTCGATTGAGCCCGGCTTTGAGCACATGGCTTCCATGGTCGATGTCTGGCCCTGGAGCTGCAGCCATGAGAAGACTAGGGAAGGGAACATGAGGGGCGGCTTGCAGATAACCCCGTGGCTTCTAAATCGTGCCCGTGAATGCTATGATGTCCTTGCTAAGCATGACTCAATTTTCAACAGTTTTGTTGGCGGAGTCATGAAGTATGCCCATAGAGCGAAATCTAGACTGCTGGGAACTTTGGATAACCCGCAGCTTGCTAGCACCTGGCAAAATATCCCATCGAGACCAATGCAAAGTGTTTGGCATGCCAGGGAAGATCTCTTGCAAGAACTTGAGATGAAGAACAGCGTCCTTAGAAGCAGGCATCAGAGCTGTTGCGAAGATTTCTTTTGCGTGTTGCTCGTGAAATGGCACAGAGAAATCTATTTGCAGGAGCAGAACTGCTTCGAAGGAAGAGGCATCGTAAGCTGCAAGCCAATGATGATCTCCTGAGTGGCAGCCACCTACGGTTCCAGGCTTAACCGGAGCTGCGTCAGCAAGCATGTCCAGAGGATGTTTCTGCGTGGCCTCTGATTGGTGTAGTTCATCCCATACAATATGCTAGCGTGGCAGAATAAGACAAACCTGCAAATGCCACCTGCTACGTAGAAGATGCCGAAAGGCAATTTCTCTTCTTTAGAACAACTGCTGTGCGTTTCCCGTACCAACAATAGCACATGTCGGGCTATAATGATTCATTGATAGCTTGGCAGCCGAGCGTTGGGTCGGGAAGTTCACGGCTCAGTTAATTTCGTGGTTTCACAGCACAAGTTTCACCTGCTAGATATCTTTGCAGTCTGTGTTTTGCATGAAATGGATTGATTGTTGCCGGCGTTAAAGATGGACACTGCAGCAAGACAAGGCGCCCCAAATCTTACCGCAGCTCAAGACCCTTCATCGATTCACTCAGCAGCGACGGATGCTGCGCATGCTGAAACACAGCTGCCTTGCACCCGTTTGATTCCTTACTGTTGTCACCAGATGGTCCTATTGTTGCTTCTAAGACACATTTCAAAACATGTGAGGCAGTTGTTCCATGATCTTGTGATGAACTTCTGGGTATCCGTTCATGGTTTGTAAGCTGCAGTAGCCCAGTGGCGTCATTAGCCCGCGCAGCACCACCATGGTGCCAAGCGACTCACAGGCCGTTGCTGTGAGTGACCGACTCGAGAGTGAGAGAAATACCCACGAGAAGCCCAGGAGGGAAGGAGCGCTAGAACAAAAATTGTCTTAGGGAGAGAGCGTAATGCTGGCAGATGAAGGAGCTGCCAGGAATCCAAGGCAAACAAACCCTCACCGCGGGAGATTGACCAAAGGATGAAGAGCTGCCAATCCGCAGGGTTGAGAGAGGTAGAACTGCTGCTGAAACTAAAGGCACGGTCAGTACCTTTCCCATTGTTTTGCTTGACCACTTGCTTCACATCAACCACTTTCCTGGAACGTTGTCTCTTCAACACCACTCAAAATGATCGCTTGCCTCGCTCCAACCCCAACAACTACTTCAACCACTTCAAACCTGCATGTCCGCGTACTTTTCTGGTGACAAATGAATGTATATGTACATATACTCATGCAAGTAGCTCAAGTTGGCACAGACATACATTGCACTTCTCGGATGTTTGAGAGCCGCTGGCCCATTCCGACCGCGCAGGAAGGACAGCGAAAATGTACTGGAGCAAAGCAGCGAAGCCAGTTTGGACCGTAGGGGACTATCGGCCGAGCATCTGTGCCCCCTGTAATTGCCAGCGGGCAAGAACGCTCCCTGGCACCAAGTTTCGGGATCCAGTGGAACATGCTCCAAACTCGTCACCCGTGTGACTTCAGGTCGTGTTAAGAATGTGAAGCAGAGAAGGGTGAGCATATGCTATATGCATGGTTTGGTTGTTTCGCGTCATATGCTGTTGTACTCAGAGCCATGTGTGCGTAGCACCATGGCTCTTAGAGAAAGGGAGCCGAACATGTTCTGGAAAGGGTTGGTGGCAGTCTGGAAGACTTACCAATTTGGCTTGTTGCGAAGCAGATTGATTTTCTGGAGCTTTCCACTGATGCAGATGACCTGGAAGTTTGACTCGTGCTTGAAAGGTGGCAAGAGTCCTTTCAGAGCAGCTGAGCAGCACTCCAGCATCACGCCTGCGCCGAGGCAACAGCGCCCTGTGCTGGAGGCATCGATCACAGTTCTGCTAGCAACCAGGCACCAGCTGCCCTTCGCTCAAACAGTTTCAAGGAGGCGATCGCGTCAAACCCATCAGAGCCGTTGAACCAGCCCGCTGCGCAGTCAGTTGTGTCTGGACTCAATGTTTCAGGTGGCATGTGCATGTGGTGGCAAGAACTTCATTTTTGGTCGGTGTTCATACTTTGGACCACCTGGCATGGCATGCTCGCGTCGACCAGCCGTTCTGCGGCCTACTGCGCTCACTTTGTCATCTTACCTTCAGCATGTTAGTGCTGGTGGACCAGCGGCAGCAGTTGGAGCCCCGGCCGCTGTGCGGTGGCGGTGTGACCACGTGGGGGTTCCCCTCCAGGCACGAGAAGGTTTAGTGTAGCGTTGATCTGCGCCGGACCCCTCACATCGACCGAAGTCTCACGAACCCATTCTGCTTAGGACTATGCTTGCATTGGGCAAAGCAGGTGCCAAGGCTTCAGGTTCTGTGCTTACTTTCATATGCTTCGCCCTGCTTGTGCCAGTGGCCTGCCTCCGCTACCGACACCTTCAGCGCTCGGAGGGCTTTCACGCGCAAATGAGTTATAACATTCAGACTCTTCTGAAACATGGGCAAGTGCCGCAAAGCTCTTGTGTCAATCTGAGCCAGCATCAGATTCGGGTCAGAACGAGGTCGCGCTGACACGTTAGGCTGCTTCACAGGACCAAGGACAAACAAAACGAGATGCACGAACAATGTTCCAACACGCAGTGTCACTATCGCCTCCATACTTGGGTAGTAAGTCGCCAGAAAGCAACGCAAGATTTTGCAACAAAAGAAGAAGAAGAGGGTCAACGGGAAGGCTCAAATGATTTCCGACTCACATGTCTGCCTGTTGCCAGGAGCCTGGATTGTGCGAGCCTCGCATATGCTCAATAATTGTCGGTATTGCATCATGCTGATTTCCGGAACGTGTGCTCACGTGCGTTGTTGCGGTTTTTCGAGAAGCCGAGGCGGAGCTTGCTGGTGGGAGATGTCCTCGTGCGTCATCCAGATTTGGCTGGTTTGGCCCAGCTCGCGGAAGACTTTTGCACCGAGTGCTGCCAAGCCTCTCGTGTTCTCAGGATTCGCCTGCAGAGCTCTTTGCTGTTGATGCCCCAGAGGCTGTGGCGGCATGTTTGGAGTGTTCAAAGACAAAACCTTGGCCCCACTCAGCAATGACAGGCAGCGGCAACTGCTCCGAGCAAAGTCCTCGGGAGTCTTTGCATCTCTTGTGGCCACGTGCAATTGCCTTGAACCCTTGTGCAGCTGGTTTGCCTCAAGCCTCAGACTACTTCCAGGCTGTTAGAAAACCGGTTAGTTAAGATACGGACCGGCTTGGCAGGGCAGCCTCATACAAGAAGATGGCAAGGGCATTGCAAGCTTGCCTCCCAACGTTGAACCAGCTAGCCGGTCAGGCACATTCCACCATGTAAGCACATCACGAGGAGCGAGGAGCCAATATAATACCAAAAGCTTGATCCATCCAAAACATTCTGGGACATGTTTAAGCTGTATGGCCTGGGCCTTGCTGTTCATGCTTCGCTGAGCCGTGCAGCTTGCCTGCATTGGACCTTTTTTCCTTGGGAAGGACTTCCTACCCGCAGGCCAAGGAAGTTTTTCCCGGCAAGGGCGTCGATTGCCTTGCAGGAGCAGGGTTCGGTTCTTCGGCTCAGGCAGCGTCCTCTCGCCGTAATCCTGACTTCGAGGAGCCGAGCCTTGCAACTGGCGAGAGAGGCGAGAGGATGTCAAGGCCGGATGCCGGATGGCTAATGGTGAGGCCACGGGGGCTGAGAGCCAGTCGGATCCCTAGGGTACATGGTTGCAGCAGGATCATGTTGCACAGTATCATGGTGATCGTGGTAATGCAAATGCTGACAAGGGTCATGGTAATTATGAGCCGTATCATTCTTTGACTGTACTTGCTTTGCCAGGCCCTGCAGAAGAAGACGGTTTCTTCAAGCTAGCATCCCAGATAAAGGTGTCTTTAGCTTTGCTCAGAAGAGATCGTTAGTTCTAGTAGGCGGCGACCAGCATGCCGACGCTCTGGCGCTCCTCTTCGCGCTCTTGGGTGGCTTCTTCATGGGAGCGTATCCGGTTCCCATCAAGGCCCGCGGATGTCCAGAGATGCCCAGGAAAAAGGCTTAATCAAACTCTCTGTAGATGCTGCAGGCTCCAAGAGTGCTGAAAGCCAGCCCTCACCCAGTCGTCTTCCAGTGCTACAAGCCTCCCGGCGCACATTTCTGTGGGTCTGCCCTTTGTCAGTCGCTCTGTTGCATGACCTGCTGAGGACCTTCTGGGTGTTCTTAACGGGCTGGCTGTTCCTTCTCCCGCGCTGGTGGCTTGCCAAACACATCTTGCAGGCTGAGCCACTCTCAGTTATGGCACCCTTGCCTTTTTGCAGGTGGCAACAGGAGTCTCCAGTTTTTTGCCCTACCTGGTGGGGAGTTGTCAGTGCCCTAGGGTGGACTCTCTGCTGCAGGCACTGAGGAGTAGGCAGCAAAACGCTGGCTTTGTATTCTGCAGTCGCCTATCAGGATTCCGAGCGGTGTCTGTGCGATAGCAGCAGTGCCACGCCTGGGCGTTGGGATGACTGTGGCGGTTGCTGCCTTATCAGCACGCGGCCCCGAGCAAAGTGGCGTTTGTTGCAAGGTGTTGAACTGTAATCCAGTAATCCCCGAGCCAGGTTTCCTCAAGCTGTGGCTCCATTCTAACATTCCTGGTTTTCTGGCTGGTGCTCGGCGAGTCAATGAAGGAACACAGCCTTGGAGGTCACATGCGCCTGGGTGCTGGGTTAAGATGTTCGACCACAGCTGAAGCATACTCGCAAGTTGACAGACTTCGAGGGAATTGAAATCCTCTCAGCTTGGTCCGGAGCCGCCTATTCAAGACTCATCCCAGGATGTATTTCGCTCCAGTTTACCTCGCCTGTATAGTCCTTGGCATGGTAGGCCGGGACGGCTATGAGTGACAATGCCCATGTCCAGCCCTGGATGCGAGACAGCCTTGACCAGGTATGGTGTTGGCCACTGGCTTCAAGCACCTTGGTGTGATCCAAGACTTGGGTTTAGGAGTCTCTGTAAGATCTGAGCATGTCAGGTCGCAAGGAGGAGAGACGCGGCGCTCCAAGGCCTCCGGTACGGATCACCGTGGGGCTGATAACTAGACATGAAGATGGCTGATGAAAGTAGCCGGCCCATGCAACCAATTGTTTGCGTGAAATTGCGTGAAGAGGCGCTAAATGGGACTCAGGGGGTGGACTCTGGATATCACTAGGTAGATGGTGGTGGATACCCGAAGAGGACATGAAGGAGGACATGGTCGCAGTAGAAAAGTTTTGGCACAACGGGACATTCGAGATTGCAACTGAATGGTTGGCTGGGTAGGGAACAGTTGGACTTCTTATATACACTGATGTAGCCAGTTAATGCGCAGCATTCTGGCTCAGTACTCCGACTTTTCATATGCTGTGACAGGTCTAAACTCTTCGAAGAATATGGGTGCAATTGCTGCTTTGGTGTTTCTGTCCAGCTTTAGCCAGAGACCCAGCTCCGTGCGTATTCGCGGACAGGGGATGGTTGGGCTGCTGCTGGCCATGTCAGTTGGTTGCAGCCTTAGTTCTTAAAAGTGCTGATTCGTAGCCTCCGTGCCAGCACGCAGCAACAGAGCAGCTCGGGCTAAGTGCGCGGAGTCTGAACTCAGCTTTGAGCTCAGGAGTGTTCAGCGCTATCCAGTTCGGGGCCGTGAATTTGGGCAAGCAGAGCGCGCAGCAGTCGGCTGGGTGTGCTGGAGATGCTGGAGCAGCATTGGCCCACCCAGATGCCTTCAACTTCGCAGCTTTGACCCGCTCCCAAGGACATGTCTAGTTGCCCTCCAGAATTCGTGGAGGCCTTCAACAACTTTGGCTCCTGGCACCCTTGCAGCAAGTGCATGATTAAAAACAACTGAAAGCGCTTGGATACAACCGGTGATCCGAGCTCACGAGAGTTTTGCCGAGGTGCCTTGGAAAGAAGGTAAGTCTCTGCATTTGCACCGTGAGGATGGCTTCGTTTGGACTTGGAGCGCTCCTTGTCACGGCCATCTTTCTACTTGGAGTTACCGCCGACGCCGCCCTCCGGTCTGTTGGCAGAATTCGAAGGAAGCTTGGATTGTGTTCTCCAAAATGCCTTGAAGCCCAGGCGGAAGCCTCTGCCAGCACCCCATTGGAAGGCTTTAGCTGGTCCGGGCTCGATGGCAGGATTGCTTTGGGCCCTTGGCAACTTCTTCCAGGCCACCTTCAGAGTTTGAATGATGAGCTTTGTGAGCGATTGTTGTGCCAGACCGCGGCAGTTGTCAGAGGTGGCAGCGTGCCACTGACGGCAAGCAGAAACATTGAGAGCGTCGAATTCAGAACTATTGCCCAGGGTGCTGCCCAAAAGCGGCATGTTTGTTCCTACCGGGTTTGCTTTATTGTCTATTATATTGTGCTAGGTTTGCTCTCTTGTAACTGGGTGAGCTCTGAGAAAACAAGGGGGTCTCGTAGCGACCTGCCAGGTCGATGTCCTAGGATGCTATCCGTAGAATGCTTTATAGACGACAGCGGGAGAGAGCAGATGAGGCTGTCATGCTGCCCGCCAACCAAGCCATTCAGCTGGTGACATCTGGAGCATTCGGTCTCCTTTACTACCACGAGGCACTGTCGTAGGGTCACCTTGCATCACGAAGCAGACGCATGGTGTAGCCAGGTCCCAAATCTACGACGCGCAGTGTTTTGGACCGCTGCTGCACTCTGGACTTTGGGAAGTATCCTCCTCCTCAGCCAGGACCGGATCCCCCTCGCCTTTGTTCTGCCAGGGCATGTTCTGGCATAAGGCTGTGCAAGTCTGGATACGCATCTCCATCCACCTAGCAATACTTCAAGGCCATTGTCTAAGATTCGTTATACTTATAGCTCATGCTTCAGCCCACAATTTATTCTGATTTATTCTGTAATACCTTGTATACCCTGATTGTCTTTACTACAATCTTTGGTAGTGTAGTATAGTCCCTAGCATATCCCTAATAGGAACCCATGTCCGTTAACTATCTGGGAAATCTTGACTATAACTACGACAACCCCATGTCAATTGCATACTTCCATGTATACTTCCACGTTTCCACAACCTGACGGTCTCATGATGCCACAACGTCAGAATTTGAATCTGGCCATCCACCACAAATTCATGGTACCATAGTTCCATACTTCCATGATCTTCCATGGTACTTGGAGGGTCAGGGGGGTTAGTGACCCCTATAAGCTATGTAATAACCCCAACCCCATTATTAACCTATGTACTAAGTCCCCATGACCCTCCAAGCAAGGAGCCCTGCGCGTAGCCATCCTTCTGGCTTAAATGGTGTTGCGGGGGTCCATCGATTTTCGCTGAGAAAGGGTAGGTTTGCACAGGGACACGCTCCAGGTTTTAGGGTTGGACGCTGTTCAGGGTTTCCAGGTTGGGGTCGTTTGGAGTTTAGGGTTGCATCCATGCCCAAGCCGTTATCACATTCCTGTTCCAACACCATCCCTTGACGAGTACATGATGGCCGAACCCAAACAACGTTTCTGTTTTAAGAGCATATGTGACACCGACACCTGAAAGATCAAATACGGTACTTTTAAGGTATCGGGCTTGTTAGATTTTTTCCCACCCTCGCTGTGGGGTTGTTAGATTTCAAAGTCTATGTTGTCCTGGCCCTCCGCCAGGAGCCTGACTGCAGTGCTCAATGGCCACGTATTCTTGCAGTGCCCGACCACAGAGTATCTTTGCAGTGCCCAACCGCCTGCAAGTATCCCTGCAGTGCCCAACTGCAGTTTCCCCAATCTTCCAGGAAACATTACATTTCTTGTCCAATAAGAGCTTCAGGGTGGGGATGCTCGAAATAAATAATGTATTTGTTTACAGGAACCAATATGGAAGTTGGCGCTTCCCTCCGGTAAACAGTGGAACCGAGAGACGTTTGTCAGACATAGGACACTTGCATGATTTGCGGCCGCTAGTTGCTTGCTTCATCCGTCCAAATCGCAGCCCCAGAACAAACGCTCAGGAACAGGGCAAGGCTGCCTGGACCGGTATTTTGAAGCTCGGGGTGTGTGACCTGAATTGGTGTAGTCCTTTCAAACCGCAATGGTCATTTGCCCTATCATTTCGTTCATATTGGGAACCCGAAATCCTCAACCCTAAGCCGCTAAGCCGGGAGTCAAGCCGGCCCCAAATCCTGACCCCCGCGATCCCCGCACCTCGAGCTCAAATCACTGCGAGTGCCGATGTTTTGGGTCGCGGTGGCTCCGAAAGCTGGTTTTGCCAGGCCCCGATTTTGATCGGAGATTGTTACCAGAAGGAGGTACTTTGAGTGAAGATCTCATTGAGCAAACTTGAGCGCTTTGAATCTGAGGTGTTTTTGACACAAGGTACTCAAGGCTCTGCAACGTGCGGCTGCTCGAAGTGATTGGCATCCAACCCATCCAAGTGACAGGTGTGAGCTTGCGACAAGGTATTGCAAACCAGGCTGCGGGGGGCAGAGGAGGAACTGTCCGGCCAGGGGTGTATTTCTGCCAAGCTTAGCACAAAAAGGTCAGAGGCTTGTGTGTCGCCACAATGTCAGCCTTTGGCGGGCAAAAATGCGGAGATCCCTTAAGCAACTACCATGCCGAGCGAGGCACTAGCTGATACCGACTGCCCTCGTGGATGAACCTTATCATTCTGGCTTGCATGGATGAAGTGGTTATCGGATGCTCTCTGGGATGAACGTTATTTTGATTTGAGCATGCAGGCTCTGCAGTTTGCATTACTACTAGTTGGCATCAGTTGACAGCATTTCAACGCGTGAGCACTCCCCCAGCATGTGCGTACAGCCACACCAAACTAGTCAACGCGTTCCCTGCAGACAGGAGAAGTCGTGAGTTGGGCGGTCAGTTTGTCTCACCTGAAGCCTGGCATGATTCGACCCCTGTACAGCGACCATGTGCAGCCAAGATGTGCAGACTGCACTAGAAAGTCGGAGGAAGGCGGTGTGGTGGCGCTTTGCTGTGAGGTTGGGGTGCTTTCTGGGCGAGTGCTCTTAGAGTCTGCTCCCGAGCAAGTTGCAAGAAGTGCTCAGCTTGGCAAGTTGCCAGAAGCGGCCACAAGCCCAGGATGCACCAGCCCTTCCCGCATCCGTTCGGGCAAAGGAGCTCAGCCCATGCGGCCATTTGACGCCTGGAGCTTTAATCAGAGGTTCAGCAACTGCCGAGGCCTCCATGCCTGAGGAAGGCGGTTTCGTAGTGCGCCCTCTCACCAAGCCGTTGCCTTCTGAGGCAGGAGCTGGGTTTAGCATGAGCTCTTCGCACGTCTGGCGGGTGGATGTAACTTGCTGCGTAGTGCGCAGTGCATCCTGCTACTGCAAGGTTCTTCGCTTGCAGAACAAGGCCTGCTGCACAAGAGGAATCATGCAGAGGTTGTTGACTGTCCAGAGTTTCAGTGCAGTCTGCATCTCTGACAGTTTTGCCAGGGCCGCTGTCTTCTGGCCCCGCGGCGTGAAGTTCACGCGGAGCTTGGTTGCTCGGATGCAAAAGACACGGTATGCCAAGAAGCTCTGCCGAGGCGATGTGAGTGTGAAAGGTTTTCAAAGCGGCCAGATGGTACAACGGTGCCTTCCTTGTCCGCAATATGAAGCCCTCAGATCTGGCAGTCCTGTGCTGCTGCAGTTTGGGGATAAACTCGAGCTTAGCTGTCCAAGCATGGCAGTTACGGATAGAGCCCGGCAGCAGACATGCCAGCGAAACAGAACAAAAATGCAAGACAGTCACCAAGTGACTGAAAAGAAGACTTCAAATGCCAAGTAGCCAGATTGGCGCTTAAGATAGCAGATGATAGCAGCACAGACGGACCTTACCGCCTCAGCCCTTGTTGTTGAGGCTGGGGGAGGGGGGGCAGGGGAACAGTCTTTGCAGCCAAAGCCCATGGATTGCGTCCTTGGGGGACCAGGTTTCCCCTGTCAACAACTGTGAATTGGTTCCTGCCAGCAAAGGCTTTCCCGAGCCTGCCTTAATCAGCAACGAGGCCCAAAGGGGTTCACATTTGACTGAGCATGCAAGTCTCGACCCTAGACAAGAGGGGGGTGATTCGTGGTGTCAGGTTTTCGCAGAGGTTCGATATGGTTTAGCACCATCCGTCGTTCAACGCTTGGACTTTGAGGACATTCGGGAAGGCGCAGCCTGACAGATTTGACTTGCAGCAGCATTGACGGAAGGGCGCAGACGTAATTCTGGTATGTGGTGCAGGGACGCTGCGTATCTTTGCCATCCCGGGCTTTGAGGGCGATGTGCGTGTGGTGACCGTGGTTGATGAGATTGCGGCCACAGAAGTTCTTGCCCAAATCGGCCACGCTGCGATGCTGGGCAACGCAGGTACGCTTGATTGTGCAGGTCAATGTTTGTAGCAGTGGATTTGGGCCTGCGGCATCCTGCAGCTTGCAGGCCTTCAGAGGAAGCGGCTTTCGGAGTTCCTCCATGCTGCGGCGGCATCTCCTTCTGCTGCCAAGTGGCCCACAACTTCGGAGGCGGTGAGAAGATGCTTGAAACCTAAGTGTTCTTCGCAAAGGTCTTTCGTTATTGGAGCAGGTCTGCAAGCTGCCGCATTCATCCCCATAGCACGCTTCACAGGGACCAGAGACAGCAATTCCACTGGAAGCTCTGGAGGTCATGTCGGGTGACTTTATGGAGAGTCTTCTGGAGAGGCCTTCCCGTGGCCAAAGTGCAAAACTGCAAATGCCCACACACGCCGACTCGCTGATTCGTTTCAGGGGGTGGGATGAATCTATGATTGCTGCTTCTCCAGGCCACCGGAACAGGAGCTGCACAACACAGCCCTGCATCACAGCGGTCTCTTCCCCCATCAGGCAACTGGCTTTGAAAGAGAGATGCTTGTTTGCTGTGATCCTCCTTGCCGTACGGCGAAGCATGTCTGGCCTGTAGAGGTGTTTCCTCTTGTTTAGGTCAGCAAAGACTTTCCTTGTTGCACTCCGCAGGTTTCCACAGTGGCATGGATGCAGAGCATTGAGCAGAAAGGAGCACAGCGCTTGCAGGTGCAATTGACGACCGTTGTGCTTCCAGTGTTCCATGGTTTCTCGATTCAGAGTGCGTTGCAGAGCTATCCTGAACCAGGTAACTCCTTTGCATTTCGCTGGCGCAAATCTCGGCTCCTCATACGATTTGCCGCTGCCGTGTGGCGGTGTTGTGGCACACCCACCTGGTTCAGGTGGAGGGTGGGAGTTTGGTGAAAGCGGTATCCTCAAAACGCTTGCTGCCTTGTTAAGGCAAGACTCGTATTGTTGCGGCCCTCGCTGCGCAGAGTCTTCCCACCCAGACGGTGCTGCAAAGTCGCTCGCTTGAACGCCTGCCTTTCAGACTTCATAGGACAGCAGTGACTGCATGGGACACAGTACGTGTACCAGCACGCAAGGCAGAGCATCTGAAAGTTGCGACCTGAACACTTGGGTGCCCGGACGGCAAAGTGAATTGTTTTGACAAAGCCTGCCGACAGCAAAACTACAGAGCACTGCCGGCAAGGGGAGCTGGATACAGCGGCTTTGTGGAAACCAAGTGAAGCCGCAGGCAGGAGGGAAACATGACATCGCCGTTTTCAAGCAAATCTGAGCGTGCCCAAGTCTACCGGCTGGCAAGTGTTATTCTGATACAGCAGGGTGCACAAGCGTGGCTTTTCTTGTTTCGTGCAGGAAGAATCAGATGCATAGCAAATCATGCTTAGGCCAGGCCTTGACAGAAACCTTGAACCAGGCCATTCCGGCTCGACGGCCGTTGCCAACACCGCCAAAGCCAAGTCTGAGCCAGGGCTCAAACATGAGGAAGTGCACCCTGGGACTTGGGAATTCAATGAGGCGAACCCAGGAAGAGTTGCTGATTTGGATCATGAAGCCTCCAATCGTGCTGTTGGCAAGGATCGTGTGTCCAGCTCACTTGGTGCGCCAGTGGCATGAAGAGCTTGAAGGCCAAGGTGCCCTCGACACAGAGGCTCGATTTTTTGATGGCCTTGTTTTTGCAGCTAGTCGTGTTATAGCAGTATATGATTGCATTGTTTCAGAGCAATGTGGTGAGACTTGTTGAATCGTTTCGAGTTTTCTCTGCTGAATGGCCTAGCAAGCATGCAAGATTGCTGCTGCGGATGATTGGAAATTGCTTGCCGAATGCTGTGATTAACGCCTGGTGTATTCTGAGCGGGGGTTGCCTGTACAATCACAAAGCTAGAGTTCCCGCGCTCATGCTGGTGCTGTGGCCGAGCTATCGTCTGAAGACCTGCGCACCTAAGTCAAACCTCCTTTGGTTGTTGGGAAGGTGTGCAAAGAACACAGCAAGTCAGGTACTCAAAAAAGAGATTGCGCCAGTGTAGGTGCGACTGCATGCTTGGTCAACCTGTGAGACCCCTTTTTGGAATTCTGGCTAGAAGAACCAACGTCAATGTGGCCAGGCCTGGCCTAACAAGATATTCACGTAGCCGTTATCTTAGGTTGGAGAACAACGTCTAAGTGGTGTCGAGGTTGGTAGAGGGCTCACTCGTGACTTCTCCCGATTCGCTGGTGACTTCTCAGTTTTTGTCGTTGTGAAGTGCAGAGCTGTGTCGTTTTTAGACCCCGGATTCTGCGACTCTCCACAGTTGCGTGCGAGTGTTCCTCGTACACCCTAAAGAACCTAAACCCTAACTCTGAAAACCCTCAACCGTAAACCCCAATCCAATCCCTAAAGCCTAGCCCTAAACCCTCGATCGTGTGCACAATCCAGGAGCCTAAATCCTAATCCTAAACCGTATACCAGATACTGAACCCAACTGCACCCAACCTAAACCTGAACCTCAACGCTGTAATCCATACCGTACTCTATGAATGCGATTTCTTAAACCTTTGTCATAAAGCTTAAGCCTCCCTCGTGAACCTTAGCGATACACCGTATACCTTCACCCCCAAACTTTCAACTAAAGCTTAAAGCCTGAACCCTGAAACTTGACCCAAATCACAAATCATATCAAAGCCCTACATCCAAACCCGAATTCTTGAATCCCTGATCCCAAACTCTAAAGCCTACATATCTACAAGCTCTAAACCCCATATCCTGGACACTAAGCGTAAACCATACCCAGACCATGGCCTTGGCCCTAAAGCCCAACAACCCTACCTTGAACCCTAAACCCGAAAGCCAAAGGAAATCAGCATGCAAAGTGGAAAGGGGAACTCCCTAAACCGTGATCCAAAACTCGAGACGGTATACCTTGAACCCATAACCCTAGACATTAAACAGTTAAACAGTAAGTCTAACCTTAAAGACCATCGAAACCTTCAACCAGTGAGCCCTGAGCGCAACAATCCCACACCCGAACACCAAAAAACCTAGTACATCACCCCCTTTCTTGAAACCCCTAGCCCCAATACATGTATGCCCTTTGACCCTAAGCCATAAACCCTGAACCCTGACACAACCCCCGTCTAAGGCCTGAAAAAAGAATTCGAGCAACAACCCTAAACCTTACTGTTAAAACCTTATGCCGACACCCCCTGCTCCCTAAACTTCTAGCTCTGAACTGTGAAGCCTAACTCTAGACCATGTACCTTCGACTCCAACCCGAAACCTTTAAAGAAACTGGAACAACACCCGTCGAGGCCAGTTTTCAGGGAAAATAGTCACGCAATTATTCCCCACAAAATGGGTTCCACCTGAAAAGCTTAGAAGCCTTAAACCCTCACCCTAAATCGTTAAAACCCTACCCAGAACCCTACGAGCCCTCAACATCGGCCCATCCCACGAAATCCTAAGCCTTAGGGTGTAGGGGTTTTGGTAAGGGTTCTGGATTCTCACGCCTGGGGTGTATTTAGGGCTTACGGATGATTGTACGTGGTTCAGGTCAGGGCTTAGGATTTTCATGGATTTTCGGTTGTGGAAGTTAGGGTGTAGGGCTCTCATGACCGTTGACAGTTTTCGGGAGCAACTGGAACCCCTTTTCCGGGAAATAATTACATGAGTAGTTTCCCTGGAAACTGGCCTGAGCTGGGATGTTTTCGGATGCTTGGCAAGGGATCCCTTTCCGGGCTGGGGTGCAACCCTGACCCCCTTGCCGAGCCCCCGAAAACACGCCAGCCCAAGCCAGTTTTCATGGAGAATATTCAGCCCAAACCGTGAGCCCGAAAACCGCAACCATAACCCTGGACCAAATACCCTATATCTCAACCCTGTACAGCCTACAGCCCTACAGCCTGGTTTATCAACCTAATCCCAAAACCCTCGTCCCTGACGCTTAAATTCTTCAAAATAGCCCTACAAAATGAATCCGAACCCTAGACCGTATCACCCCAAGCCCCCAAACCCTAAGCTTGGACTCTACACCCTATCACGCGCACCTGCGTATACCTGTGTACCTGAACCGCTTTTTCTAAGCCCGTCACCCCAGCTGCAACAAACCTAAACCCCAACCCTAGATAGTCCTAGAAACTTCAATCCATCAACTCTAATCCCAACCCTCTCCCTTCACCCCACCGCCCTCCACCACAGGCACCACCTGAACTCTAGGCCTCAAACTGTGTACCCTGGACGACCATAAACTTTTATCTGCGGTAATTTTGTAGGGAATTCACGTGTTCGAGAAGTCACAAGTGACACTCCTCGGGAGAAATCGCAAAGGGTCCCCGGGAGAAGTTTCCAGTGACCCCCCACGGCTGCTACACCCCATGGCTTCCGACAATGTACCATACTAGCGAGCTGATGCTTCTCGCCGCAAGGCAGTTGCGAACATCACTAAATGTTTCATACATGCATGCCTCTTTGTTTCAGTCGGTCCAGCCGCTTCCAGGAGAATGGCGATCTTTTCGCAATTTTGATCTTTAGGGTGATGCGTCTAGCTCGTGCCAGACAAGTCCACCACGTGCGCTCTGTGAGTCAACATTGCCTCATGAAATCCACATTGAAAAAACCGTGCTTCCACAAATTGTTTTTTCAGGAAGGTGAACCTGGTAACGGCCTCGAGAAGAGCTGAGATATGCCTTGACCATGTAGGTTGCAGACTATGAGTCTGTGGATCGCATGGTTTTCGAAGCTGGCAAATGGAAGCGTCTTGTGATCGATGAGCCGCAGGACTTCCGGTGAGCTTCGCCATGTCGGTGGGAAGAACAACAGATATGAACATGACATTCGAGAACATGATTGTGACATGAGGTCTATTCACACTCAGTGCTCTGCCAAGTTCATTCATGTATGAATATTACCCTTGCTCAAAGCTCTATCAGCCCACGTATCGAAACGCATGCGATCTGCTGCTCTGAAACAGCAACGATGCGCCTCATTGCTCGCATTTGGGGAGATCTTGATGTGGACCTGAAAAGGATTGCCCTGGAGCCGAGATCTGGCAATCCTTGCTTGATCTAGCTGATGGCTTTCGGGATGATGGTGGCTAAGAGGGCAATTTCCTGATGTGGTTGCTCAGCTGGAGCGGGCGTCAAACCAAGGGGCTGCGATTTGGCTGCTTTGCGGTACTGCTCCTTCGCACCTGGAGTCGATCGGGCCGCTGCTGCTTGGGCGCCGCAACTGGCACGTGGCCTGGCGACAGTCCGAATGGACAGGCAGGTAACGCTGATCACTATGTGCGTTTTGCTTGGATTAAGTGCAGGCTTTCCGCAGCTAGCTCACCTGATCCGCACTCGCTTCCTGGCTGATCCTCCCTGGGCTTGCTTGCCTCGACCAGCTTTGGAGTGGCACAATGAGGCCGATTCCAAAAGAGACAAAATTGATTTCAGAGCCTTAACTTTACGAACTAGACGGGCTGGGATGTACGATCTAGGCGGAGCGCTCCTCAAAAAACCGCCATAGTCCTGCAAATGTGTTCAACCCCGCATAAGGGGTTTCTTCGGAAGCACCAAGTTGATCACATCCAGTTACATGCAGCCACATGCAGCCTTCAATGTGCGCCAGGGTGTGGTGCTACGGCCGCGGGAGAGCACTGATGTTGCCGTGGCCAACCTGGCTGGGTTCGTCCTGGAGCCGGTGGAAGCAGAGAAGTGTGTTGACACGAGCTTGCAGTGTCCGCATCCGCTATGCAGCTCCTTATGGTCAATCCTGTCAGATTTCATGGGCGTGGGTAGCTCTTGGTGCCATCCCTGCTAGGACAGCGTTCTGCTGTTGTCCTTCGGTGCCGGCACGGCCTTTGCTGCTGCTCAGGCAGGGCATGGAGCAAATTGTATCAAGCAAAATGGTGCAGCTGCATTGCAGGAAAGAGATCAGCTGCTTTTGCAAATGGGCTGGCCCGAAGCTTATGATCCAATACTTCAGTGTTTCTGTTTTCCACCTAGCGTTCGTAGAAGATCCAAGGCACAACTGCGTGGGCACATCCCTCTTGCCACCTGCAGAGCATGCTTTGGCAGACTGGGAGGGCACCGTTGCCCAGCGCAGCCAGCAAAAACTGGAGAAGCTTGCAAAAGACATCCAAAAATTGGAGGCCTGCCAGCAACAGCACCACGAAGCTGTTTACTGCAGCAAAGTATTGATGAACAAAACGAGCTGCCTGTATAGATAGCTTTTGTCACGATGTTAGGTTGCAGTTGCGCAGGCGACCGAGAACCAGCAAGGCTTGCGCTATCAACTGGCAGCAGGCGATGCTTCGATGGCTCCGGACCTGTCCTTTCTTGCCGTTGAGACGGTGCGCGTGGTCGTAGTCGCTTTGTCATGATTTATGACTTTATGGGTTCCTGTCGCGCTCAGACGAGAAATTTGCTCCCTTTGAGGTCATCATCTTTCTACATCCCTAGGCACTCAAAGCAGCTACTTGTAACGCTATTCTCAAGACCCGACCTTCGTGTGGACTGAAAAAGCTGCAAGGAAGGAAGAAGAAATGAAAGGAACAGCCGGCCCTGGTGGCCCTTGAAGCCATGCCACCCCTTGAAACTCAAAAAATTGATTCTTATGCTCCAGCCAAGGTGAGGGGGGTGAACAACATAGAGCCTCTAGATCAAGAGTAAGACAAGCACGTCACAGGTGAAGAAAGGAGACATGTTCTAAGGCACCGGGCGGCAGGTGAAAGCTCTGAAAGTTGCTAGTCACGGCTAGTCATAAAAAAAAACGGATGTTTGGCACGGGGGTGCGGGATTGGGGGGCACCTCGGAGTTGCCTCCTGCCCTCGAAAGTTCAGTAGCACTGCGCTGCCATGCTCTGCTGACGCTCTGAAGGTATGAGTTGGTATGAGAAACCGGCCCCGTAAGCAAGCTCGTTTGAGGAACTACTTACGTAGGCCTGGTGTTGAAACCGTCCATGAAATCTGTCTTGCTCATGAAACATGTGCCGGCAATTGTATACAACAAGAAATCCTGTTTGCAATGGCAATGTCAACGGATACTTGGAATTGGGGGCAGTTAGAGGGCACTTTCGGAACCTCCAAGCCAGATCTTGATGAGCAACAACGGCAAATTTGCACTTGCAAGTGTCAGCCTAAGCAGCGATGCCCGACTCTCATCTTTCGCTTCGTTAGCTTGCGAGCAGGGGAAATTTGCAGAACAGGCATGTCCCCACCGAAAGCAGTTGGTTGTGCGGGATAATGATGTGTCTTCCGCGATGTCAGGGTGGATCTATTCCTAAACTTCTCACCATAGATGTCATCACCCGCAGCCGCTATGATGGTGTTGCTGCTGACATCGTTGTTGGTAGTCAGCCTTCTCTTCCAGCTGCCGCTGTCACCCCTGTTGCATGCTACGCCGTATTCCCTGCGGACAACCCTAAACCCTGAATTGTAGCTTCCATTTTCTTTACTATCATCCCTATATAACTCCTATATACCCCTACATAACCCCAAGAGAAGATCTTTTTCTCGCATGCTTCCAAGGAAGGTTTGGAGGATGGCAGCACTGTGGCTTGGTATGGCTTGATGGCAGTGAGTGCTGTAGCGGGCAAGATCACAAAGCCGAATTCTTAGAATCCCGAAGTTTCCAAATCTAGGCCTCTGAGCCCGCGTGTGCGGCGGAGTGGAATGCCTCGTCCTCAGCAGCTTGTAATTTCGTTCAACGCTTTCCGCCTGTTCGAGGTTGTTTCTCACGGATGACTGACTTGAGCGCATGAGCAAAGCACTGAGCAAAGCTTTGAGGCCCTGCTGCCCAGCCGGAGCTACAGAGGCCGTGAGCCGAGCCAGAGTTGTTTTGAAACGCCTGGTGCCTGTTCATTCTGAGCGGAGCGGCGGAGGGCGGGTTGGTGACCCAGGTGCTGTGGCACACGGCGTTGGCCCAGCTGGTGTCGCTTTTCATGATGAGCCTGCAGATGGCGATTTTGCATCGGTGACCAGCTCTGCGCAGGCGCACTTGCCAATGACCTTAAATCATATAGCATGAGACCATATGAGACCTCAGAAAGTGACAGAGATGTGCCCCTTCTGTAAGCCTGCTGTATGGCCGGATGGGTTGCTTGTTGACCTGCCTGTTGAACAGTGGAACCAAACCAGCAAAGCAGCAGATGTGTTGTTCTGCGTGATCGTGAGACGACAGATGTGAGGCAGCAGGGGCGATTGCCGTGATCTTTGCTGCAAGGGAAGGTGAGAGACCTTTCGGCTATCCTCATGAGCGATCACCACCAGGCTTGCTACCATTTGCATTGAACGTTTGAGAGCAGTCTTCAATGAATATCAGCAGTCAGCATGATTCTTCAGTTTGTTGGATCAAGCGACTGCTGTGCTGAATCTTCAATGAGGGCCCTCATGCACATCGCCAGGAATTCCAGCCTGCATGATCAGCCGCCGTTTGGCCAACTCCATCATCTCCGCTTTGAAAGTGAACTGTGTGATCACGGCGCAAGTATCGCTGCTTGCGCAGGTTGCTTGGCGGTTCTTCACAAGTAACACAGCTTAACACCACCTTGGCTTGCAACATGAGAGGACAGTCCGGAAGATGACAAGGATGTGGAGGAAGGCCTGGTCTCCGACGCTTGGCTCATTGGGAATGGTTCTCAGGATAGATTTGTCTGGACCTGCTTTGTGCAATGAGGTGTTTTGTTGTCATGCTTATTCTCCATGTGTGTGACCGTGCCTTGCCGCTCAAGATCAGCCAATTCAAGCCTTTTACTATACACAGCCACCCGAGCCAAGTGAACCTTTCTGAACCAGAGTAGTTAATAGAGTAGGGACGGTACTCAGCGCGAAGCTTTCAACTATCTTTTGTCTGAGCGCTTCAGGCCTTCATTGCAGACGATGCTGTTGACACGGCGCTGCACAGGCAGCTCAAGGCACCCTCAGCAAACGTGCAAGTGCCTCAAGTCCAGAGTCGCACCAGCAAGCACTGCAGGGTATGTTTGAGCCTTGTTTTGTAAACTTGATTAACTGCCCGGGCGGCTGCGTGTGCCTGCAAACTTTGGACTTCGCAACGGCTTCTGAGCAAATTATCATTTGCCCTGCAATAAGCTGATCAGGGCTAAAGCAGTGCCAGCGTCAGGCCTTGCGAGGTGAGCGGGACCGCTGTGAGCGCTCCCTTCGATTTGCCAGACAGATGCGAGCACTTCTGGAAAGGCCTCAGCACCTTCACCACCCCTTCCTGCCTTTCTTGGTTGCCGCGGTGAGATATCGAATGCTCCTTCAGTGCGCAAATTCATGCTGTGAGCTGCACCGGGCAGGAACGAGGCACACTGCCCCGTTTGCTTTCAGGTGGGCAGTCATTTCACAGTCATTTCATTCTTGCATAGTCTCGCTTTGCGCTGGTGCCAGTCTGGAGCAGAAACGGAAGCGTTTGCAGTACTGCCGGACTGTTTGGGACACAGTTTTCCCGGTGGCAGCAGCGAGAATATACCGCAACTCCTGCCTGGACCTCGAAGCCTGCTGAGGTTTTCACATTTTGTGCCGGGCCTGCCTAGAGCAGCAGGCACATCAGGGAACGCTCCAATCGAAGTGGTTTTTGCTGTGTGTTGGAACATGTGGATGGGTGCTAACCATTTTCAGTGTAAGGGTATCTTTGGCAGAGCCTGGCGGTGCTTTCCGTGCTGTGCACTTGTCTTCTGGACAGGCGGGCATGGATCCGACCTTTGGCTGTCAGGAGCTCAGGAAGGCAGCGTACGCACAACTGAAGTAAGTGCCTGCAACAAGTCTGTTTCATTCTGCATTTGCCCTTGTCAATTTGGACGCTAACGAGCCACTGTAGCAAGGACATTTGCAAGCGTGGCACCTGTGAGAATACAGAAAGACAGGTCCTATGTGCCGGGTGTCAGTCTTCCGTGCCAAAGCAGCAGACAGTAAGATGTTGGCCGTGGGAAATACAGATTCCAAACTTGCAGAGGTCTCGACGTGGTTGTCTTTCGTGCGCCTGGCAGAGCAGAGCCGGCTGAGGATGCAGTGGACGATGAGGCACGCAGGGCCAAGCAGAGCGACTTCCAATGCATGTAGATTCAGATGTGCTGCAACCAGACATTTTCAGTGCGGATGTGCTCGAAAGGCAGAAGCCAAAAACACAGCCGCATTGCTGACAGGTGCGATGCTCAAAGGCAGAAGGTAGCACGAGTAGCACTAGTGCACAAATCAAGGAAGGTGGACGGATGCCGTCAAGACCTAGGTAGTGGTGATGACGTGGACAGGAGAGGCGAAGCTCAGGCATGCTCTCTTTCTGGAAAATTCACTGTCTCGCGCTCCTATCAATGGCAGGGGCTAGAGGTGGCTTCTCAGCGAGAGGCGGCTGATGGCTTCGCGAGTTCGCTCCATGTTTTCAGCAATTTCCTCAGGTGCTGCCCTCCAAGCTGCAGCGCTTGCTTTTTCTGTTGCGGGAGCTGTTGGCTTCTGGGGATGAGGCCATTTGCTTCCAGTTGTGCCATGAATGAAGCATGAGCCAGTCATTCGATCATCAAAACAAGTTGCAAGCTCCAAGCATTTCTTGAAGCTCCTAGCAGTGTTTGACCAAAGGCCTGAAGGTTGTTAAGGTTCTCCGAAAAGAAAGCAGCTGTGCATTGCAGGCTACTGCAGGTCTGCGCTGCCTCTCCTATTGAACGGTTTGAAAAGTGTACCTGAAAGCATTCCCTTTCGCTGCTTGTCAATATCTTCTATTATGATCTCATATGAGTCTCCTGCTTCCAAGCAATATCTACTTTAATCTCACATCACCTCAAGGAGTGTTACGCAGGCATGCTGCACTCTGCAGGAGCGAGTGCTTGTGTACACGCAATGGGCGACTCATGTGGTTGGCTCCTAAGTTTGTTTCGGCTTGGCGTGTTTGCTTAGTTTCCATGCTCCAGCACTTGCAGGCAACATGTGCAGAAGTACGATAACACATCAGCTTTGAATTGCGCTCGGGAAGTCTTTCCTTGTTGCATAGGTTTTTGCTCGAACTCTGTGCGGTGGCCGAGTGGTGACAGTATTTCTTCGGTTCTTTTGTTTTTGAATTGTTAGTTGTTTCTTTGTCTTTGTTTGTTTCAGGCAGAGGCAGCCAGCAAATGTGCAAGCAACCAAGCCGGAGCTCGGTGGTGGCTCTAACTGGACCGCCAGGGAAGACAACTGGCGGACGACCCATGACAGCGCGAATCACTCGGCCAGAACTTCTCCCTTTGCTGCTCCATCCCCACATGGTCTCCCTCTGCTGCGGCTTGCAGAGTGATCAATGGAGGAAAGACGAGGGGGGGCGCCAGCTGTCTGTCAAATTTATCCTGTCTTTGAACGCCGTTGTCGTTGTTGGCCTTGTAGCAGTCTGCGGCTGGCAGATTTCCGTTTAAGTCCCATTGCAAGAGTTGGGTGCAGAAACGAGGCCATGTAGCATCCGCAAGGGTGAAAGAGAGCGCAGTCTCGCAACGGGAATCTCAGAAGCTGATTGATGGACGACCTTTGTTGTCGTGAAAGCAGCTTTCATCAAGTGAACGCCAGCATGGGTAATTGAGAAGTCCATCGCAAAATGTCCTGAAGTTCGAGATTTTGGATCATTTTGCTTCGCCGCCTCCAAAACAAAAGTCTTGACATATGAGTCCCAAGGTCTACCTGCAAGAGGTGCTGCTGCAGCAGGGTGTTCCAGCCTTGGCCCTTGTGCTGCCCTGAGCAGAAGCAATCCCTGGAATGTCCGTTTGCAGTTGAGCACTTCGACTAATGTCCATGTTGACAAACAGATGGTTTGGCAGGTGGGTGAGCTGCGGGAAACGATGGATGTGCTGAGCCGTTTTGGTAGCCCTGATGAGCCCAGGGTGGGAGCCCAGGGTGGGAACAGGGTTCGCAGGGCGCTACGACTGGTGTGAGCAAACAGCTTTCAAGCATTTTCAAGCTTATTAACGTGAGGGTGGGGCGCAAGTGATGCTGCAATAACTTGACTGATCTCTTTTGCTTCTCATGTAGACACGGCTTCCAAACATGTTGCAACAGATCTGAAATTCGTATACTCCTACATGACTTCGCTGCTTATCAGAATGCATTCTAGAGCTGTTGCAGGGAGTTTGTTCAAGTTTAGCCCTGCCTGGAACTAGCTCTAGTAGTTTAGGGACATCTGCAAGATAGTGTAGTTAGTAATGTAAACGAAGAAAATTGGTTTGCTAGCAGGTGCTACTCCTCTCCAGCCAGCGTCACTCTTCGGGCATCAACCTACAGGCAGCGGGTGGGTAAAGGAGGAGAATCCCCGTTCAGATGGATCTAAGCTTGCCAGATGGCGCGGCACGTGGTGATTGTGCACCCGTACTGCACACCCACTGCTACAAGCCAGGCCGGCCATGGTATCCAACTGAACTTTGGTTACGCTCTTGCATGGCTGCAATGCAACCACTTTGAGCATGCAGCTGCAGCCCAACTCTATTCTGACCATGGCTTGATTTTGAATTCTCGTGCTGAACTTGAAAGCAGGAAGCACGTTCCAACGCGATCTAGGTAGCACAATCATTTCATGCGTTTTGCCTTCAGGACTCAATCTCCCGACTGCAGATGTTGGCTTTCGAGGCGCAAGCCATTGGCCGCGCTCCGGACCCAGGAAGCTGCTGAGCACTCCATGACTCCATGCAAGGTATGTGACAGGCTTTGGCTGGTGCCTTCTGTTCAAGGTTCGGCGGTATCCACAAGAAAAGACTGTGCATGCAGGCTCCTCAGTCTATAAGCATCAAGAAGCGTTTGACAAAGTTGAGCTGAGGTCCATCGCTTGTTTGCGGTCGGGTCTGTAGAGGAAGAGCTGTATGCTGGAAGGCCAACCATGGACAGACCTTGCCAAGCCAAGGCGCTTTGTTTCAGCTTTGCAGGTGAACTGGCCTTCCATCGGCTTCTGATACACCGGCTGATGCGAAAGAGCTAGCAATGTGATTTGAAGCCCCGCAGTAAGGTGTTAGTGCAGTGCTGCTGCCGGTAGCAGCACTAAATCTGACCGCATGCATCTCGCATTGTCCATACATTTGGAGGCAACATGCCTTCTTCAGCTGTGTGCTTGCAGCCTTCCAAAGCCGCGGGAGAGGGGTCTTGTTGCGTAACGCAACATGGCTCTGCTCCAAGGAGGCGCGAGGCTGAGGTCCGGGCCAGTGTTTCATCACTAGGAACACCTATGTTGGCAAGCTGCCATCGCATAGTGGGAGGGAGGGTCCATATTATGAGGATCTCAGATGTGGCCAATCGCCCAGCAGCTGCGGAATTCAGCGAATAATTATTCTAGGCTGTTTGATTTTCCGCCTTTGGCCTCTCACTTTAAGATTCTCAACTGCAACAGGCCATGGCAACAGCCGAAACGCATTTTTCACTGGGTCTGCAGCACTGCCACTTGCTTGAAGTTTTTATGGACATGCAAGGGCCGTAAACCGCAAGCAACTAGCACTTGCTGCAGATGTGCTTGCCTGTGGTTGCAGCTCGTGTATGGGGAAACACCGATAAAGTGGCTCAGCGCCTCGAACTCTAACCCCCATGCTCGCCAACCCCGAGCTGTCATAGAATCAGACAAAAATACTGTAATCTGGTGTTGTGTTCATGGATGCTGGGACATAGGCCTTTCTGTGCCTGCGTTCCTTCCCAAGACCTTGTACAGGCCTTGCCAAGGACAAGTGAGGCAGGTTGTGCGAACTAGCAACGTAAAAAGTGCAGATCTCACAGATTCTAAAATCGACTTGCAAGCACTTCGGAGAGCGAGTTTGTTGGATTTGACTTGAGCATTATCACGGGTTCCTGTGACCTGTTTTGAGAAAGCCTAGCGCGGCAGCCGTACTGGCTTCGCTTATGACAAACGAACATGCGGAGCAAGCTGCTGTGCACTATTTTTTCGATGTAGTACCCACTTGTTCAGTGGCAGTTCCAGACAAAGCACTGCAATATGACGGCACCGCGATGAGCATCCTGCATTGTCCACGGCCACTCCATCTTTCTGTCTGCGTCCCGTTGCTCCGCCATGTGCCCAGAGTGGCAATGGCTTTCACGCCGGCTGCAGTGAGAGCAGCTGCAGGCATGAATTTCGGCTATCATATTTTGTGTGCACTTGGTTCTTGGTTAACATAGCTTGGACTCGCATCATGACAGGCAGCGCGCGGCGGCGGGCACCGCTGTTGCCAATTCCTAAGCGGCAGTTCAAACGCTTCATTCCTGAACCCGAGCCAGCTGTGAGAAGGCTCGTCCTTGACCTGGATGAGACGCTGGTCTGGCCGGACTGTTTTATGCCTCCCAGCTTTCACAGCTTGGCTTGCTCAGCATAGCAGTTATGACTTGAGGGGCTCAGCCCCAAACATGTTATTGGCCAGAGTGTGTGTGCCAGGTGCGGGTCTGCTGCAAGGGCGTCCACCACAACAGGAACTTGAGAGTTGGTACAGCCCCCAGCTCACAGTGACCTGAGCGGCTTTTGCTTCCGGAAGCTCACGGAAGTGAATTTCAGAATGGGCATGACGATCACTCTCGCATGACGCAGTCCTGTCAGTTGACTTTCGGGTGCCAATCGACGTGGGAGCCTTGCCCAAAGCAACGACGCCCGACCCTCGTTCTTGTCAGATGCTGGCAAGGCATGCGCAAAATCAAACGAGAATAAAGAGGGCAAGATCAGGACAACCGCTTCTCCTGCAATCATGGAAGTGCTTTTCAACGAGTTACTTAAGTTGTCTGGGTCGCAGACGAGCCATCATGCTCAGACTCTTCGTTTTGAGTGGATGCATCTGAGGTACGACTGCGGAGTAGCATTGCGGCCTGGCCTTGAGTGCAAGCCTTGGGAAAGTCTCCCGACAGATTTTGCACTGTCCTGCCGAAGCTCAGGAGCTTCATGGAGTGGATCAAGGACCAGCATGCTAGGAAGCATGCGAGTTTTTCTGTGCAATTTGAAGCAAGTCCGCAAGCTTAACCTCAATCCATAGCAAGGAGAGACGGCGAGAAGGTCTGATTGAAGGCAACTGGCAGAAGCATTCACTGCGAGCGCAAGCATTGTGAGACGAAGCTGTGCCGTGACGAAGATGTTTTCATTGTTCTGCAGCCATTTGGATCAACACTGGCACCTGGAGCGCTTTCTCGTCATGATGGAGGTCCTGAAGCGAGTCGGAAAGACATGTCACGAGACTTGTCTATCAGGAGGCTGCAAGTGGCAAGGTTGACCTCCGTTCATCAGCCCCGCTTGGGAAGTCCATCTTTTTTTTGAGCATGTATCTTCACTAAATGCACAGATTGAAGGACATGTGCGCTCCGGACCAGCATCTTGTCTTGAATGATCCAGGTTGACATGCTGAGCTTGCAAGTCAAACATATCTACGCAGGAGCTGCATTCAGTACTGGCTCCTTCCTGAACGAGCACCGGAATGGACCTTTGGCTGTATTGAATATTAGCTGAAGCACCCCAAAATGAAAGAGACATTGCAGGCGAGCACCCTGCATCTTGTAAGACCATGACATCCTGGATCCAATCTTTACATTCGACGGCGCACGATAGTGCACTTGATGCCAGCCCAAAAAGTGCTAAGGTATCGCAAGTTGGTTCTTGGAACTGGCGGCAGAGATGTGCATTCACAACCGGCACCGAAGGACTCCTTGCCACTTCTAGGCCGGAAAATGTCTTTAGCACAGGGTGCACGGGACGGGCGTGGAAAGGCACAGCATGGCACGGCCCTGCGGACAGAAAATGCCAAAGCTCCCGGAGAACTTGTTGCATTACTGTTTTCAGCTTCTTTTGTTCGCAACGTGGCTTTCGGCGCTCTGACGTTTGGGCGTTGATGGTTCGCGACCTCCTGCTTGCGTTTTTGATGTTCTGTCACTGATTCTCGGTACCCGCCTATAGGATCTGACTTCCGCCCTTTGCCTCTTAGGCGGTTCTGATACTTGACCATTTCGATTCGCAATTTTGTCCTCGCGGCATGATCACGACCGCAACCAGGATTAACACCAGCACAACTGCCATTGCTACATGTCCATTGCCACAATTTCTGACAGGATTACTCTTCCGAATAATTCCGTCCTTGAAGCACAGAAGCTTTCATTGTACCTTTATTCTGCTGGGGAGAACAGCGATTATAAATCATAATAGTAGTGCAAGTGAGAATTAGGAGGCTAGCATCCGCCTGAAATTACCGAGGCTGATAGGCAAACTGTCAGTGGCCGGCCCTGTGCTACAAAAAATGCAAGCAAGCTAGAACAGCAATTCCTGGGTTTTTGTTGTGTACCATGCTGAGCAGGGCACATTGACCTCACCGTGCCCAAGCTTGTGGTGGCTGGGTTGGCATTCTGCAATCACCCAGAACATCACGTACTTCTGCCATGTCAGCCTACCAGAGCAATCCAAATGAGTCGATATGAGTCTACATGAAAGTATTCCACGGAAGCAAAGCTGTCAAAGGTTAACACCTCTACTTGTGTCGAGCAACTAACATGAGCAAGGATGCAAAGGACTACTGGGTCAATGGCCTTGGTGCGATCGAGAGCTATCGAGAATCTGTTGGCGAGCTTCTCTAATAGCAAAGTGGAAGAGCTTTGATCGGCATTGAGTGTTGACGTATGATTCTGTATGATGTGTTGATGTCAGAGCTCAGGCTTTGGGCTCACCTCGGCCCATCCCAGATTCGCATGAGCGAAGGCAGCGTGCACAAATGGCCTGGAGAGCTGCTTCCCCAGGAGTGCGAAGTGCAACCAGGCCTCGAAGTGATGCAAACTGCAACGAGCTCAGGATTCGAATATGGGTCGAGGACATTCGGAGCGTCGCGGAGACTCTGCGTGCAAAAATGTTGTAAAGAGACCTGGACTTGCCAGCAGTGAGCAATCGGAATTCATGACATCCAAGGACATGCTCAATATGTTGGGCCGCACACTGGACACCAAACTGGTTCTCGAGATGCGGGAGGCCACCACAGGAGGTGAATATGCCGCGCAACTTAGCGGAAGCTAGTCAGAAAAGCCAGGCCTGCTATCGCGTTTGTAATCCTGAGGCTTCTGCATGATCCTGGCCACGTCAACAAAGTCCAAGCAAGTGAGGTGCGCTTGTGATATGCTGTGGATATCAAGAACATCAATGTGAGAGGTCTTTTGCAAGAGACCCTGCAATTTGACAGTGACGGGACTTCCTTCGAACGTCAGCCTTTTCATGTAAAACGATTTAACAGGTTTAGTATCAGCTTCTTCGTTTTAAGCATTATATAATTGTCTGAAGCAGTTTCTGCCAGCTGATGTCTTTTAAATGGTTTCGTATCACCTTCATCGTCTTCAACATCAACGTAAATTGCTTGAAGCAGTTTAAGTCATTCCCGGAGAAATCAACGTCAACCCTCATTCACTGATTTCCTCCTGATGTGTGTAAACTATTCATCTCTACATTTCAGAAAATCTGAACACTAGAATTGGCTCTTAATTCTTCTAAGTTATGTCTATGTGAAACAGGCCAGTGAAGTTAAACCCACGCAGCTGTGGGTGGCTGCCGAGACCTTCTCTCAAACCAGTCCGCTTGCAATTTTTTGGGCTTACGAAAACTATGCAGATGTGAATACCGACATCTTTTTTCTCCCCCCCGGCCCCAGACCAGTCCGGAAGCTAGTATTGCAGCGTTTGGATTACAAAAAACCGAGCGTTATACATTTCAGACGCAGGGGGGGGAGTTTCAGGCGCGAATTTCAGGTCAAAATTTCAGGGCAGAGGCTGGGGAGTTTCAGACGTACGTGAGGGGAGTTTCTGACGCACACAATGGGGCATTTCAGATGCATTATGGAATCATGGTTTAAGATTTAGAATTTAGGGTTTGGGCTTAGGGTTTAGATCGACGTTTGAAGCTTTTAGGGATTGAGACT